TCCATTGCCTCCACACTGGAGAGGCCCAAGCGAAACTGCGCTCCCCCTCAAAACTGCCTTTCCTTTTCACTTCCCCATTTCTAGTGATAGCACCACCACACTCCTAGTTTTTGTTGTTGGTCAGTCGTTTTTCAGTTGTGTACAACTCCTTGTGACCCCATTTGGGGTTTTCTTGGCAAAGATACTAAAGTGGTTTGCCATTTCCTTCTCCAGCTCATCTGACAGATGAGAAAACCTGAGGCAAACAGGGTGAAGTGACTTGCCCAGGCTCACACAGTTGACAAGTGTCTGAGGCTGGGTTTGAACTCATGAAGAGGAGTCTTTCTGATTCCAAACCCAGTGCTCTGTACACTGCACCACCTGGCTGTCACACTCCTAGCTATTCTGGCTCATGAACTCAGAATCATCTTAGGTGCCTATCTCTCTAGCTCTCTCATGCCACCTACCCACCCCTACCCCCTTATCCAACCAGCTGGCAAATTCTACGGATGCTGCCTTGGTAATGTCCATTTTGCCATTCCTGAACACTGCCACTGCAACTGAGGGAACCATGGTACAGACCTTCACTGAGTATTATAATAGCCACCTATACACATACATACCATATTTAAAACTTTTATTAATTGCCTACTATACACAGCTAGGAACTGGGAAAGATTAAAAAGTCTGGGTATGGCATAATCCCTACCTTCAGTAATCTTATAGTCTAGCAGGGGGATAAGCCACTCACAAAAATAGCTACAACACATCATATTACAGAGTAAGTCCATTAGAAAATTATAAAACACTGCTATGTGAAGTTTGTTACCAACTGAAAGGACTATGGAAAGCTCAATAGGGAGAAGCATTTGAGTTGGAATGACTTCAAAGGACAGGTAGATATTAAAAAAATGAGGAAAAGGGAGTGAGAATATTCCAAGCAGAGAAAACAGTGTGATTAAAGGCACAGAGTAACACATATGGGAAAATGGGGTGAGAGCAGATTGTGGAGAGCCTTGAATGCCACACAGAGGAATATGGACTTTAATGGGTAGGAAATAAGGAAGCATTGAAGATTTGGGAGCAGAGGAATGACATGACCAGATCCATGCCTCCAAATTAAGGTATGAATTCCTGATCCTGATATTCAATGCCCTCTATAATCTAGCCCCACTCTGCCTTTCCAGCCTTATCTCATATAATTCCCTTTTTTATATATACAGGGTGTCCCAAAAGCCCTAGTGTAGTTTTTTTTTTGCTTGAATAGCTTTGATAGCTATTAGATAGCTTTTAAGGACAGCTAATAGATAAAATACTTTTTAAAATGCACTATGACTTTTAGGATACCCTGTATACTCTATATTCGAATCAAACTGGAGTACTCTCTGGTTTTTGCTTTCCACCCTGCCTTCTAATTCCTTCTTTGCTCACAAGCTCCTCAATGCCTGGATTGGTGTGTCCCCATCCTTCATATTCATCTGTTGAAATTCTTACTTCACAGGGTTGTTGTGCATATCAAATGAAACCATCTCTGTGCAGAATTTTGTAAGCACAAAGCACATAAACAGGAGCTTTTATGATTTGATATTCTTCCTTGTTTTTTCCTCAGAATACCTATGTGCTTGTTGCTTCCAGTTGTTTATAGAGATGTTGACAAGAGCAGTCCACGTAGGCAAGCCAATCAGCCACTGCTCATGTGAGGCAGGAACAGAGATACAACAGAGAACCATAAGGAGGCATTGCCATGGGGGGGGGGGGGTTGAGATTTTAACCAGTAGGCACAGACAAAATAAGTTCACTTTCCTAAATAACAGACCACCTACTGCAGTAAGCTGGGAAGAGTGAGGACTTCCTAGGCATGCTCTTGGACAAAAATAAGCAGAATGGGCAGAAAGAGATTGCCGGGGAAGCTAGGTGGTGCAGTGGATAGAGCACCGGCCCTGAAGTCAGGAGGACCTGAGTTCAAATGTGATCTCAGACACATAACACTCACTAGCTATGTGATCCTGGGCAAGTCACTTAACCCCAATTGCCTAAAAATAAAAGAAAAAGAAAAAGAAAAAAAGAAAGAGATTGCCTTGCCAACCAAGTGGGCTTCAGGGTACAGCGATTATTAGAAGGGGGCAGCCAAGGAATAGTTTCACCTTGGCAACAGTCAAACCAAGGTGGCCACAGAAAGTCAAAGACTTACCTCATTCCCAAGGAGGCCAAAGGAAGAATGAAAGGCTCCATACACACCAGACACTCATTACACAACTTTTTTCTTTTAAACGACAAAGAACTAGAAGCAAAGTAGATAGCCATCAGCTAAATAATTTATGGTATGGGAATGTAATGGAATATTACTACACTATAAGATGTAGTATATATGAGCTGTATGAATATGGTGAATACAGAAAAGGGTGGGGATACATTCTGCAAAGTAATGCTTTGCACATAGTCAGCCCTTAATAAAGGCCTTATGCATTCATTCATGAAATCAGAACCAGGAAAACAATACATACAATGATTACAACCATGCAAATAGAAAGAATAAGAAAAGCAAACAAAAAAATGAAAGTGGTGTAAGTATAATGACCAAACCTGGCCTGGAAGAAGAGCTGAGAAAATATACGTCCCTTCCTAATTTGCCGAGGGGGACCACAGCACCTACCGCCACACTTGTTTGTTCTGTTGAACTAATTTTTTTCTCTGTCTTTTTTCTTCTTGTGTTATAAAGGATGGTTCTCTGTGTACGGCAGGCATAATTTTGGAAAATGAAGGTGATATGAAACCAAAAGGAATCAATTTTAAAGGACAAAAAATTGCTTCTTCCCAAAGACTTTCCTGCTGCCGTGTTCATAGCCTTGATTAATTGGGGAAATGTTGGTTAGGGGCCCTGAAATAGGAGAATCAATGGGCTTCCTGCTTTGGTTCCAAAACAAGATCTCCCTTGAATAGCATCCATAGGTTTGGGATTCTTTCTAATTAGAACGTGTGGAATTGGGGTAGAAATGGAATCAGGTCTCACCTATTTCCTTTCCTCTCCTTGAATTTGCTAAACTTTACAACTAAACGATTCTGCTGCTTCCTGGAAAAGCAAATAGCCATGAAGGAAGGGAAGGTAGGAAAGAAAGGAACACAATTGGGTGGGGTTGGGAATTTGAATCTTGGCACGAGTTTTCTAGGTTTTCTCTCTCAATTTGCATCAGTTCCTTTTGGCCCTGATGTTATCTCAGTTTTCCCAGGACAGAGAAAAACCCCACAAAACTTGTATTAAGCATTCACCTACATGCCTCAACTGAATCCACACTGAGACTGCAAGTGATTTAGTCAGGCTTAGGGCTAGGCAAGGCAATGTGGGATGGGGCAAAGACCAATGATTTGGGAGTCAGAGGGCCTGGGTTCAAATTCTGGGCTCTGATGCTTCCTTCCAGTGCAACCCTGAACAAGTGGTTTTTCCCTTCTCTGTAAAATGAAAAGGCTGAACTAGATGACCTCTAAGGTCCCTTCCAGTGCTAGGTCTAGGGGTAAGTCAGGCAGCCAGCTAGGGTACAGAAATGCCTTGACCTGCTGGTCTGACCAAGTGCCCTGAGGAAACTCCACTCCTCCATCTGTCCAAAGAAACTTAAATGAAGGGAAGAAGTGTGTGTGAGAGCGTGTGTGTGTGTGTGTGTGTGTGTGTGTGTGTGTGTGTGTGTGTGTGTGTGTGTCTATCTTCACTGGTTTCCCTAGACAAAATCAATTTTCAGCCCAGTGTTCTGAGCCCTCCCCAGTACGTCTCTCGGTTCATAGGCCTATTTTCACAGGCTTCAAGGTTTAGCTCTTCTTTAAGATGCTTTTCCTGACCCTTCCAGTTTCTGGTTGGCTCTCCTTCCTTAAATGACCTTGGATTTGCATATCTCTTTAAATGTTACATCACTCAGTAGAGTATAAGTTCCTTGAGCGCAGGAGCTGTTTCATTTTTGCCTTGGAATCCCCAATGCCTAGCACATCGTAGTTGATTAACAGGTCCTTGTTGAATTGAATCAACTTTTCCATGTCTATTTTCTTTCGTTTGGCTAAGAAATCAGGCCAATAATGATTCTCAAAATCCCAGAAACATAGATTCTAAGGATCAGAAGGGACTTTTAGAAGTCCTGCAGTTTAACTCTACCACCCCTCCAGAAGCATCAGTATCTTCTACAACATCCCATACCAGCTTCTATTTGAACACTATCAGTGACAGGGAGCTCATTACCTTATAATGTGGTTCAACCTGTTGCCAGACAGCTCTAATTGTTAGCAAGCTCTTCCTTTAAATTTAGCCAAAATCTGCCTCCCCATTGGTCCTATTTCTGCCCTCTGGGGATAAACAGAATAAATTTAGCTCCTCTTCTCCTTCAAATAGTCAGTCAATCAACAAACATTTAAGCTCCTACTAAGTGCCCAGCACTGAGCTAAGCAGTGGGCTTTTTTTAAAAAAAAGAAGCAAAAGACAGTTCCTGTCCTCAAAGAGCTCACAGTCTAACAGAGGAGACAATAAACAAAGAAATATGTATAAACAAGGTATATACAGGATAAATAGGAAATAACTAAGAGAGGGAAGGCACTAGAATTAAGAGGAGTTAGGAAAGGCTTCCTATAGAAGATGGGATTTTTACTGGGACTTGAAGTAAGCCAAGGAAACCAGCAGATGGAGATGAGGAGGAAGAGCATTCCAAGCATGGGTACAACCAAAGAAAATGACTGGAGCTGAGAGATGGAGTGTTTTGTTTTAAAAATATTTGAATACAAATATTTGAAGACTGTCATGACTCCAAAGTCTTCTCTAGGCTAAATACCTCCAGTTCCTTCACCCAGTCCTTATACAAGTAAGGTTTTCAGTCCCATAATAATAATAATAACAATAACAGCTGATATTTACATAGCACTTCAAGGTTAGCGAAGAAATTTACCGATGTTGTCTCAATAGAAGCTCTCACCTACCTTGTGAGACTGATATTATTGATAGTATCATTCTCATTTTACAGATGAGGAAACTGGGTCTCAAAGTGACTTACCCATGGTCACCATAGTATATGAGGCAGGATCTGAACCTAGGTCTCTCCTGACTGCCAGTCCAATATGCTCTCCATTATACCACACTGCCTCTCAATCCCTCACCTTCCTGGATTCCAGTGAGTCCAAAATATGGAGTACAATGGGGTTGCCTTCAAAGCAATGAACAGACAGCAAAAGAGAAAGACAAATCAAGTTATTTCTGAGATATCAAAAAGCAGGAAAAAAAGGCGATGAACTACGTAGAGGCCACAAGTAAGATAACCTCATCAAATATCAGTGAACTCATCAGTGGTTCACATGGTCTCCACATTTGGTTTTGGTCTAATGGAGACTGTGGACTCAGATGCCTCCAGGCCTCTCTTTTTGAAGTTCTGTTATGGCTATTCAAGATCAAAAAATTACTAAAACTCAGCCATCACTGGTACTAGGCCAGTATTTTGGGGAACTGATTTCAAAGTTGTGGTAGTATTTTATGTGTCAAAGTGATATCAATGAAATAGCAGAAAGGAGCCATAAAGTTATCATCAGGAGATCGGGGTTTCAGCCCTGACTCTTTTAATAACTAGCTCTGTGTCCACAAGGAGGTTAATTCATCTCTCTGAGCCTCTATTTCCTCAACTGTAAAATAAAAGTTTTGCACAAGATGAGCTAGTAGACAGTCTGCTGACTGAGGTAGCATGGCAGCCATTGTAGTGCTGGGATCAGAATCAGAGGATCTGGGTTTGAATTCTAACTATGCCACTTACTACCTGCATGTGACCTTGGGTAAGTTCCTGCAGGACTTTGCATTTCAATTTCTTCTTCTATAAAATATAGAATATAAGTTCCTTGAGGGCAGGGGTTCAGTTTGGTTTTATCTCTGTATCTTTAGTGCCTTACACATAGTAGGAATTTTTAATAAATGCTTGTTTATTTGAATTGAATTGAAGTGAGAGCTGGACTAGACTAGTTAGAAGGGATCTTCCAACTCTAAATCTTACAATCTGTGATCCTATGACCCTGTAACTCTAACATTCTGACCCAATAAAAAAACAAATGGAACATAACAAATGAGAAATACCAAGTAAACAGCTATACTCAGAACCAACTGGAATCAAAGGCATTTGGGGAGGACCAGCTTACCCAACAAGAAATGACGAGGCCAATGGCGAGGGCCAGGCATATTCAGGAGCCCAAGGTCTCAGGGTAAAGACCCATTTGGACGAGATGACAATGCCATGTGAGAAGGTACAGGAACCATGGCTCTCACTTACCATGTGCTGTCTTTGAGAGAAAAAGATGTCTCTCCAGACTGAGCCACTGAACTGACCCAGTAGGATGAACGTTGAGTTGTTTTTTAGTTGGGGAAACAATATGTACTGATCCCTGAAGCCATCTTCTTTTGCCCTCTCTCCCCTGGGAACTCATAGGATGGAGTTAAGAGCACAGTCTGTGACCATGGAAGAGAGAGAAACAATTTTAGTCTATGCAGTGATCAAGCTGGTGGAGGTTTAACTTTGCTCTTGCCTTCCAACCCCTAACCCTGTTCTTCATCCTCACCATGTCCTCCCTTCCATCTCTCAGTTCTTTCCCAGGTCACCAACCCACACTGACCTCCCTTGCCTACCTAAGGCTTTCCTTCCCGGCTTTACCTACCATCTATTCAGTATATTTGCTAAATACACAGGCGGTCTTCCCCCATTAAAACGTGAGCTCCCCAAGGGCAAGAATCTGATATATTTCACCTTCCTTTGTATCCCCAGTGCTTAGCACAGTACCTACTGCTTAATAAAAGCTTCTTGACTAAATGACTAAGGGTTGCTCAGTGCCAGGCTCTGACCAGGAGGTAGCACTGGGGACTTCTGAGTCTTGGGCCACACTGGCAAGAGCACTAAGAGAAGCAGAATGAATAAACCAAATTGGTGAATAATGCTGAAATCATTATTCTCTTTATTTGAAAAGTATTACTATATTTATACAGCGGTGGCATGAAATAGGGGCCGGAGTGCTAGATTTGAAGTCAGGAAGACCTGGGTTCAAATCCTCCCTCTGCCTCACACTGGGAATTGTCACTTTACCTCTCAGCCTCAGGAAACTCCCCAATACTTGTATACTAAATTCTAGACAAGTTACTAATCTAGGTTGGTGGAGGGAGCTTCCAAATTGATGAAATCAACAAATGTACTGGCATGTGTATATTGATATTTATGTTTGAACATAAAGGCCTTTGGTCTCTGGAAATTCACAACACTTCTGGAAAAATCATGAAGTCATATCGGGACAGTTCAACTTGGGTAATGCTGGAAAGCGGTGCAACTGCCCCATTCTCCAAGCCCACCCCCTCCCAACTCTTCAAACCCTGTTCAACTATTTGATCCTCACTCCTGGCCAAGAATGGACACCATCACCTCCCTGAAGCAGGTCCTCCAGGACCTAAAACAAAGATGTGAGATGACTCACATCTTTCTTGGGTTTTATTCATGCTCAGTTATGACCTCCAAGCAGGCATTCTCAAATTTGTATATTGAGCCCTGAACTCTCTCACATCTTCAGACCAGCAGTATCTCCAAGGGACCTACAGGACAGCTCCACCTGGATGTCTCAACTAGCTGCCTCAGTGCTATTTCAATTCAATTGTATTGCATCTCAGGGGTGGCCCACTAGAGCCAGCTCAAACCTGCTTTCAGGAGCCAATCGTTAAATTTTCAGTATGAGCATTTATACCTCACAAATGCTGCAAATCAAGGCTTGAATTATTGTCCTGTTGATTGTTGATTCCCAAGTGATGGAGCAAATGTTAATGACACAGATTAAACTTATACATGTATCATGAGTACACTTTGATTATTTTGGAGAGCCAGTTGTTAAACAATTACCAGCACACCACTGATTATATGTAACAGGCTTTCACCCAAAGCCTGGTGCATTTTCAGGTGATTCCTTAGGGATAAGTCCAGATTGGTGGAGAAAATGATGACACAAGGCTACAAGCCTACATGAGGGAAGAATTGGTGGAGAGCTTGAGAGAGGAGAAACATTTTTTTCTTCAAGAGCACACATATGGTATCAGACTCTCTCTGGGACCTACTCCAGAAATGGAGGAAAAACTGGCTCCTCAATATGTCCCTGATTTCCAGATTGTCTCCCTGGAGACTTCAGAGAGCTTTTCCCCTTGGGTGAGATTAGGGCTTCTCTTCTGGTTTGGGTGGAGATAACTTGCTCCTAGCAGGAGAGTTTATTCACTCATGTATTTTTTGGTACATTTTGTATAACTTCTGGAATTTCCATTTGCCATTTTGCTTGGATGAGTGGTTGGAAGAAGTTAAACTAGTAAGTGTAAGCTAAGGGCTAGTAACCAGAGAAGCAGATTTTGTTTTGAAGCAAAATCATGCCTTATATAAGCAACAATTAGAGGTCAGATAGATATAATTTTAGTCCAATATCCTCCTAAAGGACTAAAGGAAGAAGTGCCTAGTCTTGTGGCCCTTCTCCTACTCCCCTCAAGGCAGGAATCATAGTCTCCCTTGAACAGGGGTGGGCAAGATTCCAAAACTATGATATCTATAAATGCTTCTCGCGAGCCACATTTAGACCATTTGGACATACATATCTTATATGGGTTGCAGACATATTACATATATGATTATGGTCATATCACTCTGTTCAAAACCCTTCAATGGAGCCTAAATCAGGTTCAAAATCTTTTTGGCTCTACTCTGAGATCGACTTGCTGATGGGTGAGCCCCTTCCCTTGACCCCCATATCATGAGAAGCCCCGACCTCTCTACTTCTGGCTCACTCTGGTCTGTTCCACCTCCACACTAGCTGTCTTACCCTGATAAGAATGACTCCATCCTGAGACCTTCTATTCTTCCCCCCTACCCTTTACAATTCCACTTTATGTATTGTCTTCCTCTACTAGAATGCAAGCTAAATACTGTATTGTTTTTTATGCCCAGAGCTTTGACAGCTATAGGTAGTATAATGGAGGCACTTTTTGACCTAGAGTCAGGATGAACTGAGTTCAAATCAGGGACTTACTAGCTGTTTGATCCTGGACAAGTCATTTAACCTCTGTTTACCTCAATTTCCTCAACTGGAATGAGGATAACAGCACCTACCTTGCAGGATTGCTATGAGGATCAAATGAGAAGATATTTGTAAAGCACTTAGCAGAGTTCCTAGAACACTGTAGGTGCTTAATAAATGCCTATTCCAATCCCTTCTCCCCCGCCCCCTGCCACCTGCCCAGAACTTAGCAGAGCACCTGGCACATAGTAAGTGGTTAATAAATGCTCTATCTATCTATTGCCAGGTATTCAAGGCTTTGCACTATCTAGTCATTCTACCTTTCCTAAGGTTTTCCCCATCCCTTTTGTCAGAAATGAAATTCCCCTTGGGACATACATAGCACTTTGAACGTCTCTTATGTCTTTATCACGTATGGCTGCGTAGTATAGCTCGTGGCTTATTCCCCAACTAGGCTGTAAGCCCCAGAGGGGTAGGCATCATATCTTATCTCAAACTTTGCATCTCCCCCAAAGCTTAGCCCAAGGTTTTGCAAACAGTGAGCTCTTAAGAAATTATTTTTGAGTAGAACTGAATTAGGAGGTTTCTGTTTCAGCTTAAAACTCATCCTGCTCCTGTCAGGCTAGAGTGGAGATGGGGTCTTTATCAGCAGAGCAGTACTTAACGCAGGGTAGGTGACAATGTGAATAATGATTTGAAAATGAGATTTGTGGACCATCCACAATACAGATCATAAAGAGCTGACTGGTAGAGATAAAAAAGTAGTCTATTTTAGGTGCCACTAAATATAAGTCACCTCTGGATACATTTTTCACAGAATGGCGCAGGATTCCAACAGAAAAAGGCTGCTGGTCGTTAACAACACTCAGAAATTATCTTCAGAGTTGGATATCTGCTGCCTACCTAAGGAGCCTGAAGCAAAACCAGGCACCAGCTGAAATCAGCAGTGGAAGGTCAGAGCTATTTGCCAAACAGAGACGGGTAGAATACTAAGGAAAAGAAAAGAGAAAAACTCCAAAGCAGGGTACCTGACAATATTCTTTCAATTTCTGTAAGAAAGTTGGAAGGCATTTGGAAAGTGACCAATAATCTTTCCCAGGAGCTTTCTGGGAAAGGGGCAATAATAACCTTGGCACTGGATTCTATGAAACTGTATGTAGGTAACATAGAGCTCCATTGGATTCCTCCAGACAACCCTTCCTTTTACAGAGCTGATTTCTCAATAGACTACTGCAGAAGACAAAACTTGCCTGAAACTTGTCAGGACTAAGATTTGATTCCAAGCAGTTGGGAACATCCGATGCCATATAAGGAGAAGAGGCTTGAATGAGGACCCCCAAGCTCATGACTGCAATATGGTCCTAACTGGCCTCCCTGCCTCAAGTCTCTCCCTACAACAAACCATCCTCCACAGAGGCACCAAAAGGGAGGGTCTAGTCACTCCCCTACTCAAAAACCTCCACTGGCTCCCGATTACTTCTAGGATCAAACACAAAGTACTGTTTGGTATTTCCAGATTAACTAAACACAGCGCGATCAGGACAAACTGCCCTCCTTACTGCTCCTCGCTCGCAGTACTCCATCTCTCATCTCTGTGCCTTTGCACTGGCTGTCTTCTCGGCCTGAAATGTCCTCCCCCTCCTCACATCTACCTCGTGGAATCCCTAGCTGCCTTCAAAGCTCAGCACAAGCACCTTTCATTATCCCAATAGCTGCTCATGCCTCCCACTGTAAAGAACCTGAAGAGATTTTGGACATACTTTTACATGTATGCATTTATGTTGTCTCTCCAATAGAATGGAAGCTCTTTGATGGCAAGGACTGCTTCATTTCTGTCTGTGTATCCCCAGCACTGAATAAACAGTTATTGACTGACAGCTTGACTGAAGTCAACAGTAGAACAGGCTACCTCATTAGGTAGTGAACTCCCTGTCACTAGAAGTATTCAACTAGAGTCTGGACAACTCTGTGTCAGACATGCTACAGAGGGAATTCTTGCACTGAATAGGAAGTCAGATTAAAGCACTGATAAGTACCCTCAGAGATCTAACAAACACATGAACTCATTCTGCCCAATGAGACACAGCTTGGTCACAGCAAAGGTGGGACCTGGACCGAAGCCTCCTACCTTCTAGTCCGGTATACTTTCCATTATATCAATAACCAAAGAGGAAAGAATGAGCTCACCTTGGCCCCCTCAGAAAGCAGAGTAAACCAAGAGTAATAAAATTCCATTATTGTAAAGTTAGACTGAAACCAAGGCAATTTCAACCTGCTAAATGTTGCTTATAAGTAAGAAGTTGTCCCTAATGGTGTTAGGTCTCGCTAGGTCCACTAGTCAAAGGCACTACTTCCTTAAAGGAAATCTTCCATAAAAGAGCTACAGCATGCTACTACACTCCATTACTAATCACATCGATTTACTTTACTTGAGCAAATTAGAGGCTCCCATTATATAAAGTCACCTTTCAGGAGGGTTAAGTGGACTGTTGTTACTGATAAAGACAATATCAAAACTAGCATTACTGGCACAATTCTAGATGGCAGAGCATACAGAGCAGGAAGATGATTAAGCAGAGTTAGTACGGAAATGATAAGTAGGTTATGTTGCATAATCCCTTCCTGGGAGACTTACAATTACTCCTCAACAACACAGCTCCAATGCCAGCACAATCACTTACCTGTTTCTCTACAAGAACTGGATCCACATCTTCCATGTGTTCAGCAATAAGGAGTTCCTTTTGACCTCTTCATGAAAAGGCTGAGCAGCATCCACTTGGAGCCCTAGGCATTCATTCTAGAAGCCAAACAGAGCCTGAACAATTACTGGAGAGCAGAGGATGTTTTCATCAAGATGGTGGAATGCATCAGTTGAATAATTAACGCACATTTCATAGACGTCTAGGAAAAGGAAACCAAAAACAAATACAGTCTGACCTATAGTCACAACTGAATATATCAGGAGGTTTCTGGGGGCCTGTGAAGTAGATGTCCAAAAGCCAAGGGACATAAATGCTCTCAGTGATGGTATAATCACAAAGAAAGTTCAGGAATCAATGATATGCTGACCTTCAAATCAGGCTGCAAATTGTAATGTGGCAGTATTACAATTTGGGTGTGGGTCAGCATGGGAATGCATACACATCAGGACTTACAGGCAATGCATTCACCCCTCACTTCTTAAAACTGTTCCGAAATGTACTTGCCTGTGGCAAGCTGTAATTATTAGCACTTTTTAAAAATGAAAATTGTGGAAAATAACAAATGGACTATTCCAGCCAGTCAGAGGTAGAATGTCTCAGGCCCCATGTCATGTGGACTCTGAATGGGCAGGCAGCTTCCAAGAGGCACTTCTCTGCTCAGCAAGCAGCTACTAAGTGCTCAGCAGTAATAATGGAGGGACACATGATTCTGACCAAGCATTTCAAGGTCTTAAAATCTGTGATGCTTTTCCTATGAGAACGTAGCCATGGCCCCCCTCAGAGATGGAGGAACACTGTGGGCTTTCATTTAAATACCGATTATGTAAGCTACCAGCACCTGTAGAGAAAGACATGAAATACTTTCAATTCAACTTCCACAAATGGGAAACAGCCCATTAGAACACAGCTTGGCTGACACTGAGGAATCAGCTTGGAAATGAATTTAAATCAGCTTTTCCATAGGTTAAAATGAATGCAATTCCTTTCTTTCTTTTATCAACTTTCTCAAATTAAGCAGAGCAGATGTTCTAAAGTCACACAATACTTTTTATTATTATCAATTTATTGAACATATTATAAACTATTTTCAGTATACTTCTTCATATGCAGGACCACCTCTGACCAGGCGCTGTAGCGAATTCTTTCCAGGTCCTCTTCCTGACTTCCCTAATTTTGTCAGTGTCATTCCATGAAGATCAGCCAGTCCAAGCCCATCATTTTACCAGGACTGAACTGATGCCCAGAGAGGTAAAGCCATTTAGCTGAGGTCACACAGCTAATAAACAGCAGAGTCACAAATCAAATCCAACGCTCTTTCCATTATACCATTATACCTTACTTCATCCTACCTCTTTAGATCAACCGATTTTTGCCTGCTAGTCTGGATCCTGTTTGCTGTCCCAGATCAAGCTGTTTCTCAACCCCTCAATTTTTACTCTCATTGACAACCCATTGGTATATCTTAGAGTAACATATTTCTCTACCCCTCATCCCTCCGCAGGTCTCTGGTGCATGGAGAGAAGAATAGGAAACTAGTCTCAGGGACATAGAGAGAGGTATCAGGTCCCTGGAAATGGGGAAGTGGAAGGCCTGGAAAGTAGGGCTCCTGTTTTGGGGTTCCTGGGTCTACTCTGTGATCTTAGATGAACTACTTAATTTGTCTGCGCACTTATCTGTCCTCTTGATATAGCTATGGTTAGCAAAGTGCCATGAGATCACCAAAGAAGAACATTGTGAAAACACAATCAATTAACTAACCTATCAACTAGAATTCATTTAGCACATCTGGTGTATCAGACACTATGCTAGATGCTAGAGATACAAATACAAAGCATGAAATAGTATGTACTCTCAAAGAGCTTCCATTCTATCAAAAGATGGCTGACTCATGAGAAAGGTGAAGAGAAGCTTAGGCTGGGGCCAAAGAGCCGAAGCCCCCAAAGAGTAAAGCCAACCCATTCTCACTAGCTCCTCCTTGCTCTTCAGGCCAAAAGCGCTCCTATCAGTTTTGAGCTAGAGAGGTGCCTCTTCCGGTAAAAGGGAAAGATGGCCCCTCTAGTGACCAAACAACTGCAATGGGAGGACAAGGATTTATGTGAAAACTATCTGAAAGCTTTAGTGGCCAGAGACGGCTATGAGCCGACAGTGAGACCTGGCTGCTACTGAAAGTCAGCTAGTCCGTTGGCAACATCAAGTAAAGCACTGGCCAGCAAGGGAGGGTGAAGGGAAGAAGGCAGCAAATCCTGGCCATATCCTGTCTGTAATACACCGTGTCCACTTCTGATACCATATTTTAGGAAGGATGTTGATAAGCAGGAGAGCATCCTGGCATAGTTAACCAGGATGGTCACAGGACACTATAAAATTCGAGCTCAAAAGTATCTTAGAGGTTATTTAGTCCAAATCCCTCATTTTGGAGACAATAAACAGAAGTCCAGAATGATTAAATGGCTCATCCAAAGTCACAGAGCTAGGAAGCAGCAGCAGAACTTGGACTTGAACTCAGGACCTCTACCTTTAGCCAGTCAAGGACTTAATTAAATTTCATTTTTGTTTTAGGAGGTTTATGTTAGGACAGTGTTTAGACATTCAATGGACATGCCATTCAAGGACTGCTTGAAGGAATCAAGAATGTTTGACCAGGGATGGGGAGCAAAATATGTAGGGTATAATAGATGTCTTAAAGTAATTGAAGGGCTTATTACATAAAAAAAAGGATTAGATATGTTCCCCTTGGGCCCAGAGCAGCAAATGCAATGAGGAGAAATAGCAGTGGGGTAGATCTAATCTCTGTGTGAGGAAAAACTGCCCAACAGAGTTACTCACAAACAGAATGAGTTGCCTTGGGAGGTAGTGGATTCCCACCCCCAGCATACCAGAGTTTTTCAAGCAGAAATCGTTTGTGGGGAATGTTCTAGAAGGGCTTCTTTAAATCTTAGGTACAAGCTGGACTAGGTGACTTCTCTGGTAACTTTCCAATTAGAGGTGGTTGGGGAGGAGAATGATGCTGTGGGAAGGCCCATGGGAGAGACTACACCCTACCTGATTGTACTGAGCAGGGAAAAAGTGGCCGCTGCTATAAGGTCCTAGGGCAGTGTGGCCTCTTGTGTGGGAGCAATTACTTTATTTTGCACAGAATTGGCAAGGCTGGTATAGCTGTAGAAAACACAGAATCAGGAAATTGAGAGGATGCCCATCCATTGGGGAACGGCTGAGCAAGTTGTGGTATATGAATGTAATGGAATACTATTGTGCTCTAAGAAATGATGAACAGGCTGACTTTAGAAAAACCTGGAAAGACTTATATGGTCTGATGCTGAGTGAAGTGAGCAGAACCAAGAGGACTTTATACACAATAACAGCCACGTTATGCAATGACTAAGATTGTTAAACTGAACCCTTCTCAGCATTAGGAGGATCTAAGACATCTCCAGAGGCCTTGGGATGGATAATGCTGTCCACATCCAAAGAAAGAACTATGGAAGTCGAATCGCTCTCACTTATTTTTACCTTCTGTTGAGTTTTGTTTCATCTTTCTGATGGTTCCTCCTACTGGTCTTAATTTGTACTTACAACTTCACTGATGTGAAAATATGTTTAATGGGTGTGTAAATGTAAAGCCTATATCAGATTGTGCGCCGTCTTGGGGAGGGGGGGGGAGGAAAAGGGAGAAAAATTTTCAACTCAAAAGCATATGGAAAAAATAAAAAATAAAAAATAAATTAAAAAATCATGACACATTACTCTAAGGGAGTAGAAGTGTCACTATTGCCTTCTGAAAAAAAAAAAAAAAGAAAAGAAAATACAGAATCAAACAGCTACCCAAATGTGAAGCCGGTCGCACAGCTCCTACCTACCTACTACAGTAAAACCCCAAAGTATACACCAAACCATGAAATGATCAAGAAGTCCAGTGAGAAAACACAATGACATCCTCCACTCAAGAACTATGCAGAATGGCAGCCAGAAACCCAGGAGCTTCAAGAGAGCACCAGATCAACCAGGGAAGGTAAGAGTGTAGCCTGCAAGGCTCTATGTCCAGAGGCAGCAAGAATGTAGAGCTCTCCTGGGAAAGACACAGGACATTTAGAAAGCTTCAGGGTGGGAACCTTGAAAGCCCCACAGAGCAATAGTGAAGAACAACTAGCAGAATGCTGACCAGTGTTATGCAGCAGCGTTCAGACCCAGATAGCTCAGGCCCAGGACCTCTGAAGTCCCTAACACTGTCCCGACACCAGAGAGGGCCCAGTAGATCCAATGATCTGAACCACAAAGATCCAAGGGAGGGGTTAACCCCAAGAGGTAGAAATCAACAACAACAACAAGCTTTTATTAAAGTGCTTACCATGTGCAAGGCACTGCGCTAAGCACTGGGAAAACAGTTTACAGTCTAATGGGAGAAGATGACATATAAAAGAAAGATGAAAAGGGGGTGGGAGGAGTAGGTACCTGAAGTAGGGGCATGGTAGAGGAAATCAGAAGTGTAGCTTAGACAGGTCAGCACAAGGACCCAGAGGGATAAGGGCAAAATGAAGGAGGGCTGACCACCCTACCCAAAAGTGCAGTACAAGGCAAAGCCTAGCCCTGGCACAAAGCCCCTGTTTAGGAACTAAAACTGGAGAGATAAATAAGTAAAAATATACTGACCAATATATAAATTACTTTAAATTTAACTATATAAGAACCACAAGCAGAGATTCAAAGGAAAACATACATTTTCTACAAGGACTGCATGAATACCTAGCAGAAATTAAGCAAGAGATACAAAATGAAATAAAAGGTCTTAAGGAAAGAATTGGAAAGAAAATAAGTACCTTGGAAGAAAATGTAGTAAACCTTACTGAAGAAATGGACTCCCTGAAAACTGGAAGAGACCAAACAAAAATCAATGACTCCATGAGACAGCAAGAAATATTAGAACAAAATCAAAATATTGCAAAAAATAGAATAAAACGTAAGTGATCTGATATAAAAAAACAACTAACCTCAAAAATAGGTAGAGGAGAGATAATTTAAGAATCATTGGACTCCCTGAAAACTATGGGAAAAAAAAGAAGCCTGGACACCATCTTTGAAGAAATCATAAATGAAAACTGCCCAGACGTATTAGACCAAGAAGACAAAGTAAGATAGAATCTACCATTTACATCCTAAAACAAAAATGAAAACAAAAGAAAAAGTCCCAGAAATGTCAGAGCT